CTTGCGTAGTCCAACTTTCTTCCTACTGTGACCTTTTGTTAGACACAAAAACGTTTGATATTCTATCTCCCTGAAAACGACAGAGTTCCGGTTCCGGCCATGCTTTTTTTATTAGTTCCGGCCGGAACCGGAACTCTAAAAAATCGGGGTTCTGGCCGGAACTAACCGGCCGGAACCGAGTTCCAGTGCACCCCTAGTGATATTGTATGGTATCATGGAATGGTATGGTAATTGGTATATGTTACCGGTATGGTAGTTGATGTAGTGCACTGTGGTGTGGTGTAGTGTGGTACTGTATGGTATGGTATATGATATATTGGTGGTGAAGTGTGATATTGTATGGTATCATGGAATGATATGGTAATTGGTATATGTTACTGGTATGGTAGTTGATTTGGTGTACTCAGTGGTGTAGTGTGGTATGGTATTGTATGGCATGGTATATGATATATTGGTGGTGAAGTGTGATATTGTATGGCATCATGGAATGGTATGGTCTGGTAATTGGCATATGGTATGATAATTGGCATGTGTTGTGTGGTATGGTATGGTATACTGTTGTCCGTAATACATCATTACCACAACACAATGCATTTTAACATATCTCATGTATGTACTTCTTCTAACTAGAGGACAAAAGAAATTTAATGTTGGCAAATCAAGATTGTTCTACAATATAGACGAGGTCAGCTAGTCACATTTTACATAATTGTATCACATGGTTCCTTCTGTGTCTACTATTATAATTGTTGAATATTTTCTCAGGATTACCCTGTGATAGCGGCAGTGAGTATTGGCAAGAAACAAATAAAACAAAATGATCTGGAATATGTGAACGAAAGAAAAGAGAATTTAAGGCAGGCTGCTGCAGGTACGATTTTTATCGAACAAAATTTTGGAATTTCATTTTTTTCAAAAGATGTTTCATAAATGTTCTAGTTGCAATTGTTTTCATAGCACCTTGTCTTGACGTATTAAAGCACTCTCACGAGACGAATTTTATTGCAATTTGCGACGCAACTCTTTAACACGAGCAGGAGTGCGAGTGTTTTAAATGGCTAAAAAACGACCCATCTTATGAGTTCATTGGCGAAGTAATTTTAAAATTCTACGTTGTCTAAGCCGAGAAAAGCTAATGTTTATGTAAATTAACATGATGATTTATTATCTCATTTTTGAAGTACTATTTAAAACATGAGCAGCAGTTTTACTGTTTTATCTGATATAAAGATACGAGGCGAAGCCGAGTATCTTTAGGTCTGATAAAACACGCACTGCGAATGTTTTAAATTTCTTCAAAAACGATCGATCAAGTTAGTTCATTGGCGAAGTAATTTTCAAAACTGACGTTGTGTAAGTCGAGAAAATCAAAGTTAAAGTTTATGTAAATCAAGGGAAATCTCTATCACATATCATACGACACGCTTATGGTTTTTCTATTAATGAGTTTTTAAAGGTATATAAAATATAGGCTACGTTTAGTACACTCTGCTAGTGTAAACGATAGGTTTCCGTAGCGACGTGAAAAACACTTATCCGTACCTTTTAGGAACGCTATTTTCAGAGGAATTATTGCAACGGAGAGTTGTTGTTTCGCTTATACTTATATATAGCTTCTGAAAGTTGTACATTCCGTATCGGATAGGTGCGTTTTCGCGCCGCTACGGAAAACTATCCGGTATAGTGTGAACAATAGCCTTATAATTGTGTTTTTCAGCTGGTGTAAGGTCGCTACGAGACGTGGATGTTAAAAGTATCGAAGTAGATCCTTGTAATGATGCAAAAGGTATTTAAATATTGATGAGAGGTTGAACAATGAAAACCACTACCCAAGTTATTATTTTATTTCTTAATATTCTAATCTCATTGGTGCGCAAAAATCTTTCCTTGAAAAATAAAATCGTCTTCATGGCTGCATTGCGACTTAAAGAGGCCAGCGAAATAATCTCTTCCACGTAAATGTTGCGATAACAGAAGTTCGACACCGTTGCACTCATATATTTTAATTTACCATATAATATACCATATAATAATAAACTTTCGATGTTTTGGTCGTAGCTACCCGAAAGAGATAAAAACACGTCCATGACTCCACTCCATGTTCCGAGCGAAGTCCTAACAGTTTCGTTTCATCTCTTAAGCCATGGCTGAAGGTGCATCCTTGAGCAAGTTTGTGTTTGACCGTCTCAAACAGGAAGATAAGAAGCAGGGACCAGTGACCATTAACGCTCTTGGACATTCTGGAAGTTCTAGCATAAAACATGATTGGGAAGAAGGCTGTAGTTTGGGTGGGGGACAGAATTTCGCAAGGGAACTGATGGAAACTCCTGCCAATCTGTTAACACCAAGATTGTTTACTGAGAAAGTCGCGGAAAGATTATCTCGATTGTCGTCTATTGAGGTCATTGTCAGGTATGTTCCCATGGCAACAAAGAAGTATCGAAAAACGTCTTTACTCACTTTAGATCCTCAGGAGAGTAAAATCCATGCCATTTTTCACGAGGTCTGAACAGTTGTAGATCCTTGAATTTATTGGGTAAAATTCTTGAAAGTCTTGGAAAAGTTCCCGAATCTTTTTTTTTGCCTGGAAGAAGATGGGAATGAAAGGCCTTTCCTCCGAACGTAAAGAAATATTTTTTTCTTTTTTTTTAACCGTGCCTTCATGATTTGCCATATTGCACTGATATGAAATACACATTCTGTTTAGAGAGAAAGCATGGATTGAGGAGATGAAAATGGGAGCTTTCCTCAGCGTAGCCAAAGGCTCCTGTGAACTGCCGTATCTGTTAGAAATGAAATATTTCGGAGCTTCAAGCAAAGATGATGCTCCACTTGTCTTGGTAGGAAAAGGTAAGACGTTGGTAAATTGAAAGAAAAGTTTGTGTGAAATTTACACGAGAAAACGTTAAAGTTGAAGTTTTTAAAAAAAGTTATATATTTCTTTCTTGTATAGGAATTACATTTGACAGGTGAGATTGTGTGGTAAATTCGAACGTTTTAAGGTAAAGATTAATTATCTAGTCTGTTCAAGGTTTCGAAGACCTTTTTTCCCAAGGTTTGTAGCGTAGGAAAACATGTCTGCTGTCATCAGCTAAGTGCTACGTGTTTTTCGTCCCATACTGCTAAACGTGCCACAGTTGTTGTAAAAAGGTAGTTAAGTTAACTACATATAGTTAATGCGAAAATTCGACCAATCAAAATCGCGTATTTAACTA